TCTCTATTACAATGGTGGACAGATCAATTAAAACCAGTCATTGGCGAGGTCAGAGAATGAAGATTATCTTCAGAAGATATTGGAAAACTTAAGTCTGTTTTCTTTCTACACTGGCCCTATCTGACAGATCCTGTAACTAAGCTGCTCAATTATAAGAGTTATGTTCACCTATGGGAAACCATTAATGAATATCCTCCCAGTCTGAAAATCACAAGGGAATTACTGTAATATGTTAACTACATCAATCTCTATGATCCAAAGAAACTTGATGAAAGTTCAACTTGCATACATCATGAAAAGTTCATAAGACCAGAAGTTGGAGAAAGCTCGACTCAAGCCACACAACAGAAACTAGATTCTCCAATGGAAGCTGAATTCTCTGAAGGACAAGTGGAAGAAGCTAATATGAGATTAGCAGATCACACCTACATGATGGATGATAGCTGGCAGCGTGAGTCATCTCGCAATAAAGATTGCCTTTCTGATGAAAATTTATCTGATCAAAATATGTCCCCCTCTCATGAACCCATTTGCAAAGACTAAATGGACAAGTGTCCTTCAAAGATCACAAGAATGCATATGAATAATAAATTTTTGTCTTTTTGTGCAATAACACTACAATAATGTAATCCATAAGTGATAAGTGTGTCAGACTTTTGAAAAAGGCATTCATATAATATTAAAAATGCCATGCTTGTAAACAGTGTTGCTTTTGTCCTATATGTACCTCCTTGGCTACAAAAGGAGGGCTATTGTAACATATTCTCATCAAGCATTCACAAATAAACTCTCTTGTGTGCTTAAGAACAAACATGTTCTAAAAATCTCTTCTTTCTCCCTCAAAGTTTTAGTTATTGTATTCATATCATAATTCCCCCATAGATGCAAGTATGCTCTACACCTACCTCTAAATGAGGATCTTGTGTATCAGAAAACATCTAACAATTGATCCATACTACGGTCCTTACTGTTATGAAATTTCAGTTTTAATTGTTAGTCTGCGTTATGCCTATGGTTGGCTATTTGAGGACGATACAGTTAAGGCTAGGTTTCATGGCATGTAAGGCTCCCAGACAGTGTGGTATCAGGGCTTGTAAAGAAAGAAGGGGTGCATATGGTATGAATATAATAAAGAGAGTGAGTAAGGGAGAAATCACTTAAACATGGAAACACCTGAACCTAACACTCAACCTGTTACTACTATTTCTTCTTTATCACTTCCTAAACTCTGTAAAATGACTAATTTTCATAAAATAGAAAACCTTATTAAGTACTCTTATGTTCCTGAAGATGCTCAAATTTCTAAAACAATACCTCCTCTGTTGATTCCGTACAACATCTTTAAAAGACAAAGAAGTGTTACCAGATCCATCCGAAATCTTATCTCTACAAATCGCCCTCATATGAAAGAGTACGTCCAGTCATCTAGACTAGAGAAATGTAGCCTAAGAGCTACAAACCAAGAGAAGTACGTAGATTTGGAGATTCCCCAATATCTCATAAACGACTGGAAAACTGAAGGATATACAACCTTACACTTTGGGATAGTCACACTCATCCTTTTTCTTCATGGAAGGAAGAACCAACCCGTCTTTTTGCAAAATAGCTCTACTGGACTCCAGCTACCTCCACTATGAAAATGTTGTGATAGGAACTGTTTTAACTACACTTCATGCAGGAAGTGTTGTCCTCACCATCTTCCCAAACTATAACGTGAGTCTTAATGATAACACTTTATCCACAAGACTGAAAGTACAGATCCAAATCACCGGATCTGACCAAGTGCCAGAAGCTATGTCAGCTACCCTCCATCACCAGATAATATACCGCTTACAAAATCACTCTATAGATCTTCCTCTCTCAGGATGCTCTTCTGACTCACTATTGGTTGTCACCAATAGAGAAGAAGATATACCCTTCATAGTTCAGATTCCAAGAAATATCACAAGGGAATAATTACCTCAGCTAATTCCCCTTGAATGGATAACCAACTATGATAGAGTTCATGTTGACAAAAGACCTATCCAATCTCAAGAGGCTACTTTCAGGAGACCCGTTGACAAGACAGTCAAAACGATCTTTAAAAAGCCAGACGAAGGGTCGAGCTCAATATCTCCGATCTTCCAGACAATGATGATCCAACTAGTTCTCAAAGAAGATTGGTGTTCTGTCTATGCTGTTACAACAGAGGGAAAACCCATCTACACCGATAAAATAGATGGCCACTTCATTTGGGATGTTAATCCAACAAGATGTGACCTAGATTGTGACTGCTGGATGCACGAAGATGATATTGACCGAGATATTATTCTTCCCAAAACAAAGAAAAAGGGAAGGTGTAAACCCTCGCCACCTCCTCAAAGGAGATCTGATCCAGACAATGGTCCATGGGTAGGAATCCATGGAAAAAAGAAACCCCTCTGTATCTACGAGGAAGGACTTAAAATCCTCAGGAGAGAAGGATTGTTGCCACCGAGTGATTCGACTCATATTACATGGTCACCAACAGACCATTGTAAACTGCTACATCCTCTAGATGTTGCTCAGCCAATTCCTTGCTTTATGTATTCAACCACAACTTCGGAGTACGACCGACAATTTCCTTCTTTGGAAAGAAAGATGGATCCAATCACAGGCAGGACATCCAAACCCTTCATTCATCCGAGTGAAGTCCAGCCCGATGGGAAGCTTAAACCTTTAACTCAGGCTGAGGAAGTTTGAATTGGCAATCTAAAAACATGGTTTCTCAAAATGAAATTCTTCAAAACCTTAACAAAAAGGTATATAAGATTGCTGAAAAAATAGACGAGACAAATGAAGATCTCAAGGTTTTATCCCAAAAAATGCAGAAACATTATAGAAGCTTGAAAGCCCAAGTATCCCAGCTAGATCAGGATTTACGGAAGATGTTAGAAGAGAGAGCTTTTGGTAAAACATTTGACAAAAGGAAAGAGAAATCAGAAGTCTACAAAACCAAGTAAAAGAGATAGATGATTTCTTAAGAGCCTCTCATAAAAGAAAGCCCAAACTGGTTGAAAACTCTTTCTTTGACCCTCCTACTTTTCCTACATATTTCAAACGACTAGAAAGGCATTCTCCTTTCTACCCCGCCTATGTTTCATCACCATCAGACCCAGTTAAATACATACCAACAGTTTATAGACCAAAATCTTCCAGAACTACCACTATCTCAACCTCCAAAACAAAGGAAAAAGTTGTCTGCTTAAGCGCTTCATCCTTAGACTCTCAAGATATCCCTGAAACACCCCCTTCGAAAATCCAAAAGGAAGAAGAAAATCCTAATAAAGGTTTCCAAGCCATGGCAATCACTACAAATCATGAATCTCCTCGGAAAGATCACTCTGAATCATCAAAACAAAAGAGAGACGAGTCCTTCTCAAATGGTGACAACAACTCTGATCCAGAATCATCTTCTGATGAGACACCAAGATCTTTTTTTAACTAAATCAGAATCTGAAGACAACTATTTCCCAAGACTGGTCCGGACTGACTTTATTGGTAAAATACATATTCTTGGAATGAGACTCTGCAACACCAATTTAATATGTGATTTTCGTAGTGTGTAAATACCACGTAAGAAATCAAGTAGATCTGATGTTGCTTCAAATTCGAACAAAGGATCCTAAACTCTTTGGTAATCAATAGATTTGGGGACTTCATCAGTTACAAAACATCATTGAAGGATTTTCCTTTAGGAAAATTATAAGACTCATAAGTTGGTTCTATTTCTTCGTTTAAATTAAAAAAAATAAAAAAAAAATCTCTAATAAGACTTAAAACACCATAACAGTGTTATTGCAATTATGTATCATAATTCAGATTGGATCTATGGTATGACCTCCACTTTTACCATTTGAGAGCACGAGCTCTTATGGCCATTGTAGTCATCATCATCTTCTCTTCCTTCAAAAATCCTCTAGTCGTAAATTATTTTTCATGGAAATAATTCACCGATATGCATTTATTCCGTAAAAATTTCAAAACTCTATTAAAAATCTCATTTAGCATGAATGAGGTCGAATTAAAATATCAATTAATAGAAAGTTAAAATCTATAAACTAATAAGAATTATAAAATAAATACTTCATCCATTAAAAATAAGTGTCATTTAAGATGTTTGCAAACAAATTAAGGTATATAATAATATTTTCATAAAATATTCCATTTTTATTGAATCAACCTAATAAAAAAATATATTAGAAATAGTGTCCAAAATAATAATTAAACTACATAATTAAAAAAATAGTAATCCCTTTTACATTGAACAATAAAAATGACATTCATTTTTTTTATAAATAACATTGATTTTAAAACGAAAAGAATAACTAATAAAATAAAAAGCATTTTTTATTCATTCATATGTCTCATTGAAACTACACTATATAATACATCTAATAATAATAAAACACAAAATCTAAATAATAATAAAACATCACTAAATAATAATATAAAGTAATATTAATATAAATTATAAATTACTTAAATAATTAAATATAAATCATATACTCTTTCACACATCTCCTTCTCAATAGTTCAACTCATTCTGATCGTATATTCAAGAGTTAATACTAAGGAAATGTTATTTTTACACTTATGGTGACAATTACATCATAATATTATACGGTTTTATCTTTTGAAAATATTTAATTATTATATTTTTCTTTGTTTTGCCACAAACAATCATATGGCAATGTTGTATTTGATACGGTGTAAGCTTTTAGTGTAAGATTTTTGGTGTAAACATAATAACCCTCTTAATACTAATACTACTATTGAATTAAAACATATTGATATTTTGTGAATACAAATTGATAAATCAAAATAATAATAATAATAATAATAATAATAATAATAATAATAATAATAATAATAATAATAATAATAATAATAATAATAATAATAATAATAATAATAATAATAATAATAATAATAATGTATCCAAAAACGATAATATAATTTTATTGACTATCAAAAAATACCTCGTATATAACAACTTGGAACAACAATATTGAGGTTACTAAAACAGCATGTGCTGAGAATGCAACATCATTTGCAGCTACTGGTATCATCTACATTAGAAAAATAAATCATTAATTACACACTTTCTTAAATAAATACTTTATAAAGTATGTTATCAAAACTGAATTTAAATAATTTCAAAATATCATTTAAAAATTAAAAAAAAAATAGATCTTTTTACATTATTTTAAAGCTTACATATTTTTTAATCCTCTTCAATATTTCATATTTCATCTTTAGTCCTTTAAAATATTTTTTAAAAAATCATTTTAAAATTTTTTATCTATATTTTTGATCTCGATAGCAACTTAGCGACGATTTTTACAACTTAGTTATAAAATTACAACAATTTTAACAACAATTTACTATTTAAATATTGAAATAACAATGATTTTAATAACAGTTTGAATCTGAAAGATAAAAAACACGGATGCGAATTTTAAGAGAACTATTTTTCAAAATTCTCTTAAAGAAATTAAAAATAAAACATGAATTATTTAAAAAAATTACAAACATAGTTAACTGTTCCTTTAAATAACTAAGATAGCATAGTTATCTTGTTTAATGAATTTTCATAATTTATAATTAACTATGAAAGTTCCCAAGTGCGTGTTTAAGTAATCTTTGACATGTCCAAATTCAATGATTTGTTTTATAATGGTTTTGGATTCAAATATAAATAGACATATATACTTAAAAGTTTTGGTGGCACATTAATGTAATTATTGGTGGTGGGTATATTTGTTGGAGTTATTCATAATGTGAACAAATTGAGGCCTTGGTTGCTTTAAAACGCAATTACAACCTAAATTTACTATTTCCTCCATCATTAATTTTACAAATATGTTTCTTACTCAAAATAATAATAGTAAATGTTAAAAGTACTATTATTAAACAATTTAAAATATTTAGTGTCTCGATAAATCATATTAATTAGGTAAAATAATTTTTTTATCCCTTAATTATATATTTGGGTTCAGATTAGTCATTTAATTTTTTTTTCTTTTAAATTGGCACCTTAAATCTTAAAATGTGTTATGTTGGTCATTTTTGTCTTATTCGTTAATTAGATAAAAATGACAAACATGACACATTTTAAGAGTTAAGAGAATAATCTAACAAAAAAAATAATCTGAATTCAATAGTTAAAGAATAAAAAAAAATATTTTATCTATTAATTAATAGTTATGAAGGTACATAAGTTTGGATTTCAATTCTTTTAACATATGTTTATTATGTTAGTTAATAACCAGTGTTTTAAGTAGTCTAGATTAATTCAATTAATCTTTTTAATTAAAAAATAGAAAGGAGAATACATGTTTTAATCTAAACTACTGAAATCATTAACTATTATGACAAACATATAAAATGAAGGATAAATAAATAGAAGGAATCCACACTTCAAGGGATTTAATTTATAAAAAGATTTAAAATTTTACTAATGATGATGTAAGAAATTTTTTTTATTAAATTAATATTAAAATAATTAAAATACTGTTCCCCATGTCACCTCCGTTATCTCTTTTAGTTCTCTCTACATTATTGTTACATTATTTTAAGAAAATAATTAAAGTAATGTTTGTCTATGTCATCCACATTATTTATTTTAGTTCTGTACATTGTTGTTTCATTGTGGTGGGGGCATTAATTTAGGATAATTTATTTTATGAAGATGTAAAATTAGTGGAGGAAGGAAGAGAAAAAGTGATAATTCCGAAAATAAACAAAGGCAGTGCAGCAAACATTTTCAAATTTAAAATCGGTTCAAAATAGAACAATTTAATCGTACGATCAAGATCGTACGATTAATAATATTTTTACAACGTGAATGCGGCAAAATTGTCGCGGGATTAAATTTCGAAATAAATACCTGATCAAAGCCATACTTTTTGCGATATTGAAACTGAACAGTGGAACTGAAGTACAAGGAGGCGTTGTAGATGAGGTATAAGGTTTGTTTGGTGTTGTTCATGAGTAGATAGTTGAAGTTCAAACCAACCACACTGCAAGTTTCAATTTTCCAAGTGAAAAATCTTGTTTTCAAGAGAGAGCTTAAAATAATGAGATTAAAGAGAAAATTGAATACCTTTTTCTTGAGAAGTTCAAGAAAAGTTGAGGATAGAAACTAGTAGACCAAGCCACAAAAGCAATCCATCCAAACACTGTGTATTCTACTTTAAGAATATCAGAGTTCCAGAGAGTTTCCATCTTATGAAATGAGATATCCTCCCATTCACTAGAAGCATATATATATATATATATATATAAAAGAAACATCAAAACTAATTAGAAATAATTATGAATACAAACAAATGTTTTGTTGGGTCTTCTATTAAACGTTTTGTTAAAAGCTAATGAGATTGACACTTCAACTTAATAAGTGATCATAAAAATTAAAGACGACTCTATCCAAATTAAGTATATTTTAAGAGAAAATTTTGAAAAAATGATTACATATTAAAAATAATATTTGTTGAAAAATAATTATAAAAGTGAGTAGCGGGAAGTTTTATATTAGTTAGGAATGTGAAAACTTGAGTATTTATAAGTGAAAGAACTCACAGATTTATTACTTTTAAGATTTTTTTATAAATATACGATGTGTTTCTCATAAAGATGTATTGATTTTAAAAAAAGAAAAATTTCAAAGTGTAACTTGTTCTTTTGTGTTGACACGTGAATAAACCCAACACTATTAATAAATATTTTGCAATTATATCAAAAAGAATTTAGATGTTAGCTATTATAATAATTGTTTTAGGCCGTCCATGTGATTCAAAGAAAAATGCACAATAATAACAAACCAATGAAATATAAAGTGCAAAATATGTATACTATTTTTTCTCTTTGAACAGACGATTTCACGCGCTAGTACATCGCTGATCGTTTAGATCGATTTGGCGATTGACTACAATACACACTTTGTCACATGCTTTCAATTGTCAACAACTTCTTCTACTTAAGAAGGAAATCACGTCATTTCTCAAGTATTCAAATTTATTTTCATTCTCACGTCACTTTTCACTCTTATACGTGTTGAGATATTAATTATAATTCAAGTTGAGTTATGTGGCCCAAGCCCAAAGTTAATTAGAATTTAGAGTTTGTTACTTTACTTAATAGACAAGTTAGTTGTATATAAATACATAGTTTATAATTCAGTTTTATTATCATTACATTCAATAATACAATTCTGATTGCTTTATTCTCTCTCTTTCTCTCCTCATTAAAAGTGCCTCACACACTAATAAATTGGTATATAGAGCTCCGGTTAGATTCTTGATCGTATTTTCAAGAATTACACGTCAAATACCGTGTTTCGGGGATCGTGGGTTGTTGTTGATCAATCGTTACAAAGATGAATGATAACAAAAGTTTAGCAAACTCCCTTCCAACTCTTGACAGCAAGAATTGGCTTCGATGGAGAAAACAGATGCAATCTCTATTTGACTTTTATAAAATTATAGAAGTGGTTACTAATGGTGTTCCTGCGCTTGGTGAGGATGCAACCGACACACAGAGAACCACTAACAAGGATTCCAAGAAGAACGATTGCAAGGCGGCATTTTACATCCAATCGGCGGTTGATATGGCTAATTTCGACATAATCGCTCATGCTGAATCAACGAATGAGGCATGGATATTCTTGTCAAGTAATATGAAGAAGGCGAAAAAGCCAAGGTTGTCAAGTTGCAAACTTTGCGACGACAATATGAATTGTTGTTGATGGGATAAGACGAAAAGATTGCATGTTATGTGTCAAACGTGCAGAAACCCTTCCATCTCATGAAGGGTTATGGTGAAACCCTAATTTATAAGATGATAGTTGAAAAGGTAATGCATACGTTGACCTCTCACTTTGATCATGTTATCGTAGCTATTCAAGAACCCAACAATCTTGAAACCCTAAAATTGGAATATTTGGTTGGCTCGTTGGAGGCGCGTGAGATTAGGATTGTCGAAAGGAAAGGAGTTCAAGACTCGATACAAGCACTACAGGCTCAGTCATGGAAGAAGAATGATGGTTCTAACAAGTTCAAAGGAAAAATAGACAAGACTTGAAACAAGATGTCTTGGTCGAGTCCTCACAAGAATAAGGTCGATGATAGAGCTTCTGAATCCTTAAAAAGAGGAGAAGAAAATTCCTATCATTAAGACAAAGAAAAAGGTGCGTTGTTGTTAGATCCCAAATATTGTATATATTTGACCTCTTTTAGTAGTATTTTTACTTGTTTTTTTTTAATCTAGTATTGTTGAATTAGTAGTTGAATTTGTTTAGTTTCATGTTGTTGAGATTCAAGTGAATGGTGCTTGTAATATTGCTGTTAGTGTGCAGGATTGACACTAATAGGAGCACCTTGAAGGAGATGAGTCACAGCTGCCAGAAGAAGTTGAAAATCAAAGCATTCGCCTGGTGAAGCTCAGCGAGTGCCAGCGAATGTTCGCTTGGCGAGTGCTGGCGAGCCAAAGCGAATAATTCAAATTAAACTCCCAGACCAAAAAGGCAGGAAGTTCGCCAGGCGAAGGTTCCAGCGATGCTTCGCTACCATTCGCCTGGCGAAGATGCTGGCGAAGAAGTCTTGGCTTTTCTCTTGGCAATTCCAGTAGCAAAAAGACATGAAGTTCGCCAGGCGAGTGAAGCCAGTGAAGGTTCGCCTGGTGAATGGTTGATTTGCCTGGCGAAGGCGCGATATCACAGAGGGCGGTTTGCTTGCTGAGGCACTTTGAAGTGCCTGGTTACTTTATGTTCGCCTGGCGAAGGTTTTTGTTCGCCTGGCGAATGTGCGGAAACAGAGCTACTTTTTGTACTTTATTATTGCTTTATAAGTGCCATACTTTGTACTAGATGGATATATGATCTTGGAACATAAAAACTCAGACCTAGAACTCAAAATAGTTTAGTTTTTCTCTCTTTGCTCAATCTTTGTAATCAAGAGAAGTGGAATCACATCCTTCATCGATTCATCGAAGTGGATGTTCTTCATCTTCTCCATTTTCTTCTTGTTCAAGCTACCCATGAGAATGAGTAGCTAAGTTCCTCTTTTTGTCAAGGTTAGATGTAGGTGATCATCAAGCTTTGTGTGTAAATGTATTGATCATCATTTGTAAACTCTTGGTTGATGAATGTATGGTGAAAACTTTGCTTTCATGTTAACTCTTTGTGTTGGTTTATGATTGAAAAATGTTTTCCAACTCTTAACCTAGGTTTACATCCATCTTTGTTTTTGAGCTAGAGATAGTTAAGAATGAAGTTGTTCACTAAAATGTTAAACTTTAATGTTCCCATTTTGATAGATTGTGTGAGAAATCAACAATGGATCAAAATGGTAAAACTCACAATGTGAGTTAGAAATAATCACATCGAGAGGACGTTGTGAATGTATTTATCATCAAATGGAGTTTGTGAACCTTGTTTGATCGAACATGTGCATGCAAAGCGATCATCGAACCCTAACTTTGACAATCTTTATTTAAACCGCAAAACTCTAACTTTTACCGCTTTACATTACTTTTTATGCAAGAAATAGTTACCAAAACCAAAACCCCCCCTTTGTTACTAATAGTTAAGAATTTTACAACTGTTGAACTGCGGAAATATCTTATATTCCCTGTGGATACGATAATAAAAACCTGATACTCTACTACTGTTCTAACAGTTGTACTATAATTGTGAAAATAGGGATCACTTGGCCAAACATTGTTGGTACAATAAAGACGAGGGAGCAACAAAAGGCAAGGAGGAAGGAGCAAACATTACACGCCAAGATTCAGATGATTATGAAGATATGGTGGTTATGGTTGCAGTTGTAGATGACCATGTCGACTCTAATATCTGGTTCCTCGGCTTGGGTTGTTCGAATCAAATGACTTTTCGAAAAGAGTGGTTAGCAGATTTTGATAAGTCGAAGAAAGGCAAGATCAAACTTGCTAATAAAAGCTCATTACAAGAAGAAGGTACTAGCGACATAGTTATTCAAAGGAGCAATGGAGGAAAAGCTATGATCAAAGATGTACTCTATGTACCTGGAATGAGACATTATGATTGATGAGAAATCTAAATGGGATTGGAATTCTGGTGATTCAATTAACAAGCCATTGATGAGCTATGTCATCAACGAAGGAACTAATGAAGTTGAAGTCAAAGAAACTGCAAATAGTCCAATTAAAGTCGAAGTCAAAGATGTTGCTAACATACTCGACATAGTCGTAGCTGGAGAAGATATGGCTAGTATAAGTCAGAGACCTCAAAGAACTAGAGCTCGTCCAATAAGACTTCAAGACTGTGAAGTGGTTGGTGATGATAAAGTCACAACAGATGGAGAACTAGTTCATTTTGCTTTACTTGCAGGTGGTAAACCAATCAACTATAGCGTGACTTTAAATAATATGAAGTGAAAGTCTGCTATGGTTGAAGAGTTACAAGCAATTGAAAGAAATAACACATGGGAGTTGGTCGAATTTCTAGCACATACAAAAGCTATCAAAGTGAAGTGGGTCTTCAAGTTGAAGCACAATGTTAATGGGTCGATAGAAAGACATAAGGCAAGAATGGTAGCTCGAGAATTTCTTTAGCGAACAGGATTCGACTACTCTAAAGTCTTTGCACCTGTCACAAGATTGGAAATTGTTTGACTAATGGTAGCCTTGGCGTGCAATTAAGGTTAGTCGACATTTCACTTAGATGTGAAATAGGCATTTTTGAATGGACCTTTAGATGAAGAGGTGTATGTCACACAACTTCTTGGGTTTGTGATTCAGGAGGAAGTAAGGAAAGAATACAAATTGCACAAAGCACTCTATGGACTCAAGCAATAACCTAGGGCATGGAACAAGAAGATCGACTCATACTTGGTCGAATTGGGATTTATCAAATTCAAGTTTGAGTATAGTGTATATGTTCAGGTTATGGCACAAGATATAACAATCATCTGCTTATATATCGATCACTTTCTAGTAACTGAAAATAGATTAAAGAACTTGTCGAAGTTCAAAGAGCTGATGAAGAAGGAATTTGAAATGTCAGATTTGGGAAAGTTATCATACTTCCTAGGCATGGAAATTCAAATGTCAAAGCAAGTTAGAGTGCTAAGTTAAAGGAAGTATGTTAAGAAGATACTCAAGAGATTCAGGATGGATGATTCGACTCCTGGATCTTCGTCTATCGAACCAAATTTGAAGTTGGAAAAGCATGGAGAGAAAGACAAAGT